TATAAAATTTAATTATTATTTTCTATTTTTTTAAGCTAGTGTTAAATCCAAATTAGGAGGGGGGGACAACATATGAAATACTCCATAATAATTTACTTACAATTTTGCTTACAAATTAACAAAGAACCAATTAGAAGAACAACAACGGATGTTTCAGCGGCAATATCTGTGAAATGCTAAGTGAGAATCTGGTGATGTCTGATGAGCTAAGCAAAGGAGAATATGGTCAAGTCCATCTAATATCTATATTGCTGCTTAGAGGTGTTCATGGTTTGGATAAAAATCGATCCAAACTGAAAAATCAAACCAAATCGATTAAATGAACCGATTTAATTTGGGTTTTGGTTTGGTTTGGTTTTAGATTGTTAAGAACCGATAGTATTTGGTTTGGTTATGGTTTTGTTCGAAATTTTTTGAAGAAATAACTGAACCGAACCAACAAGTTATATACATAAATTTTATTATTATACATACATAATAAATATTCATAAACAATTTTAAAGATTTTATAGATGTTTCATCAAAATTTATTTATAATTTACTTACGAAAGAAAAAATGTCTAGGGTGAGAACATTTTTCTTATTGGTTTCATGTATATGAGCGTCTATGGAAATTCTTTGTGGGTCTGAAAATGTCATTGTCTCTTCCTTCTATGCCAAAAATAGTGAATTTTGAAGTTTTATTTAGTAAATTCAATGATCGAAAGTTTTTGTAATGCCAGTCATTCTAACTATCTTTTTGTTTGAATGGATTGTTGTCATTTTTTTCACGTTTTGAATGAATTGTTTCTTTTATTTTTATGTATGGTTAATAACCGAATAACCGAACCAAACCAAACCAAAACCGAAAACAACCAAACCGATAAATGTATATTATATTATATTATATTATATTTGGTTTGGTTTGGTTTTGATAATTTTAAAACCGATTAAATTGGTTTGGTTTTGATTTTAACCAATAACCGACCCAAACCAAACCGTGAACACCCCTATTAAATGCTGCTATAGTGAGATAACTTTTCAGCCAATAATATTGTTTCAATTCTACGTGAATTACTGAAACACCCTCCAAAGTGCCAAAGCAGGCATGTTGAAACTGCCTCTTCTAATATATAGAAAAAATAAAATTACTCCCTTGATGTTCCATGATTATCGCAGTATAGGGAGATTCTAACACAGAATCATTTAATCCCAGCCTTTCTTTTTTTGAGAGCTAAAATGGTTATTGATACTCCTCTTATACTTGGAGTATGTTTCAATCATATAGGATTTGGTTTACCAATATCCAACTTTTGTAATAGTTCTTTGTGATGAAATAAAAAAGTTACCATTGTTGAAAAAAAAAAAGTAGAGCAGTGAGTCATTTGATTGACTATTTTCTTTTCAATTTGGGTTTTTGTTTTGTTTCATGTGGCTATGTTTTAAAAAAGGCAAACAAGTTTTCTCTTTTTCGAAAACCCAGAAATTGTTTACAGCCCCACCCACTCTGCGGGGCCAAAACCCAAAATTGGAAGACATCCCAAGTAGAATCCCAAAACTCTCACTGTAGTAGCTTCATTTTCCGTACAATCCAGGGTACACTTCAACAGAAAATAACAATTTTCGCCATCAAATATTACTTTCACGGCTTTAGTCTTCAACTAAACACACATATCATACCTGACAATTCGCTCACGTTTTTACAATGACATGACGGGTCATCACAAAATTCACATAATACCACCAAGTTCGAGTCTCCACAATCCTTGAGCTACATATTTTTTAAAAAAAATTCAAAATCAACCATTATATATAATAATAATAATAATAATAATAATAAATAAATAAATAATAATAATAATAATAATAATAATAATAATAATAATAATAATAATAATAATAATAATAATAATAATAATAATAATAATAATAATAATAATAATAATAATAATAATAATAATAATAATAATAATAATAATAATAATAATAATATAATACAAGAAGAAGAACAAGAAGAAGAAGAAGAAGAAGAACAACAACAACAACAACAATATAATAATAATAATAATAATAATAATAATAATAATAATAATAATAATAATAATAATAATAATAATAATAATAATAATAATAATAATAATAATAATAATAATAATAATAATAATAATAATAATAATAATAATAATAATAATAATAATAATAATAATAATAATAATAATAATAATAATAATAATAATAATAATAATAATAATAATAATAATAATAATAATAATAATAATAATAATAATAATAATAATAATAATAATAATAATAATAATAATAATAATAATAATAATAATAAATAAATAAAAAGTGGAAGACCGAGCCCTCGTGTTGTGGACTTGTTTGTTAGTAAATACTAAATCCTAAACTTATGCTATCAATTAGTAGCATGATATATAAAATTGAGTGAATCTAGGCAATTTTACCACTTGCCCATGTTCTTCTCCTTCTCCCTCCTTTTACCAATGTCATTGACCCACCCAAAATTATCTGATTGAAATGGACTGAGCTAATAAATTAATGGTTTAATAATCAATCCAAATTAAATAAATTAGACAGGTTATAATTTCACGAGTTAATTTTGTCATCTGTGTACACTATTAATTAAATGAATGTATAGACATTAAACTTGTTTTGCTTTTACGCAAACTAAGGTTGAATTAAGGTTGTATGCATGACAGAAGATAGGATGGAAAACAGTTGTATCTGCCATTCCACTCTCTTTAATTTACCAAATTAAACAAATATATACTGGGATTTCCAAATTAAATGCTTTAGTTAGCTGAAAATGAAATTATCAAAAGCAATTGAAGAATGTGAAAAGACAGTCAAGTTTATTTAAGGGGAATATTGAAAATGTTAATCAAATTTAAATGTTATATTAATTAGGTTCATTTGTCTTTAAGTTATCCTATTTGTATTATGTAATAAGTAAGTATATATGACTTTTTATGTTATGATCAATCGGAACAAAATTCATAGTGGAATATATATAGTATATATATATATGTGGGAATGCATTTAATTAATAATTGTGAGTCTATACTCTATACAACTGTTTCTTGGTACCAATAAATAAAAATGGTCTTGTTAATGTTTTGTTTTACATAAGTTTTCTATAGTAATTAATGTACTTTATGTTTATCTCCAATTTTTTAATAAAAAAAAAGTGAGTTGTTGTTGTGAACCCAAGATTTGACTAAGTTTTTGACCTTAGTCTTTTTCTATAAATATAATCCTAGTAATTCTTTCTATGTGCTTCCCCTCCCTTTTTGAAAACAAAAGACTAAGAGGTGAAAAATGTTGTCCTTAAAAGTTATGCTTGTTCTTGTTTTTATTTTAGTATCCATAAAAGATACTACAATTGCTCATACTACTACTCATGACCAAGGTACATTACACTTTTAATTTATTTTCCCCCCTTAGCTTCTATAGGTGTACATAGTTTCTACACATTTAAAATGTTCCTTTCTTGAGATATCTCATGAATAATATATCGTACATTAATTTATACACTATGGTTCTGCAGTTAAAGAAAAGATTGTAATTGTTGATGAAGCTGGAAATGGCATTGATCACAAGGTAGGAACGAACCATCTTATAATATCATGACCTTGTTGTTTTTCTCCTTTAATTTACTATAATTTCTCGCCTTACTTTTCCACATTGGCGAAATCAGAAATTACATTATATGTATAAAAAATATATTTTTCTGACATATATATGTATGCAGTATAAGGTAGGGATGAGGTATGCGTATATAGTACATCCTACCTTTCTCAGACTGAAATGTTATTGTACATAGTATAATATTTTTCGACAAAGGATGTTCAACTAACTATCTTTCCATGTTCTATCATTACTTTTCTAAATTAGAGTTTGAAAAAACTTAATCAAGGGGTTGTATAAATTGCAGGAAGTTTATGATGGTCATTATGTTCCAGCATCTATTAAAGTAGAAGTAATTGGCAGAGGCAGAAAAGAAATGAAAGGGAATAGAGCAAGTTTAATGGATTTCACTGCTGCTGATTATCATGTGGCAACAACACACCCTCCAAGGAATAACTAACCTTAATTATACACAACTCTTCAAACTATATATTAATTATGAATATAATGATCTTGTAATAAAAGAATTATATATATACTTGTATGCATACAATGGAAATATCTAGCAAAGGTATAAAAGAATTTACATATTTTCATGTGCTAGAGTATATATATATACACTAACAATTGCACTTAAATTTCTTTTTTTGGGTCCTTTAATTTCTCATTGTACTAAAGATGATGATGTTAATTAGTACTTATTATAGTTTTTCCTCCAATCTCACCAAGGATGTGTTTTCAAACATGACTCGAACTTTTAGTCTATCGTTTACAAATTAATGATGAAGATATTCAACCACTTCAACGAATCTCACATGTCGTTTGTAGTTTTGATTCGTTAAACTTTTTTTATGCTACAAATACTAATTCTTATTCCGATTGAAAGTTTGGAACAAATATATCTCTAAGTGATGATATAGCAAAGGATGTGCAATCACTTCTTTTTTAAATCACATGAAAGGCAAAAAAACTGGTTAAAAAAATAACTAAGTAATAGAGGATAAATGACTTTTTTGGGACAAGTTTCTACGAAAAATAAATAGAATTATGTATTGTTGTAGTGTCAGTGTTAATAGATACAACTCTTAGCATAAATGTGGATTTGCTTTTGCCTTTATTATTTTTCCTTTTATTTCAAATGCAGCAATACTACTCATTCCGTCTCGAAATAGTTATCATATTTCACTTCTTGAGAGTTGATGTAATTCACTTTTAGAGCTAAATTGGATTAGATTAACTCAATATTTTAAAATTAAAATTAAAATATTCAAAAATCACATGAAAAATACTATAAATTGCAATTCTTCGATTGTGGTGAAAATATATATCTTCAAATATTAGTCAAAATTTACATAATTTGGCTTTCATGGCAAGTATTGTAGGACAATGAAATTTCCTTAAAATATTGGGCAAAATTATATAGTTTGTATTTTGGGCTTGGGCTTCTTGTGCATGTTTACTTAGATTTGAGTCCATGGGCCCAAAGCTTTGCTCCATCATGTGCAAAGGATCATTTTATCTGTATTCTTCTTGTTAATGGTGAAGAAAACAACTAACGACGGGAACAATTCCGGCGATTCCAATACTCCGGCTATCTAGAATTTCTTCTCAGAGATGGCGTCCGACGAGGAATATACCGGAGCTCCGGAAATGTATCCAAGCAAACGTGTCAAAACCCTAACCCTGGGTTCACCTGAATCTTCCCCGTCCTCATCCGACAAAGGCAAATCGAAGCTTGAACTTTCGGATTCAGAGACGGAATCGAATTGCTGTGGAATTTGCTTGACTGAAACTGGACATGGAACAACAATTATCAGAGGTGTTATAGATTGTTGCGACCATTACTTTTGCTTTGTATGTATCATAGAGTGGTCTAAAGTTGAGTCCAGATGCCCCATGTGTAAACGCCGGTTCTCCATCATCCGCCGCCCTCCTAGACCTCCCATTTTCCCTTCCGAACGCGTTGTCAATGTTCCTGTCCGCGATCAGGTTCGTTACTCTGACTTTGTCTTGAATTTCTGTTGGATTTGATGAATGTTGAGTGCTGAATTTGCTCTATTTGAGATTTTTTTACATGATTGAGGATTTCCCAATTCTGCAAATAGTGATAACTACTGTGAGCTCAAGTTTATACACTCATTTATGTAGTAAAACCATTCAGGCTCATGTCAATCTATGTTTAAATTAAACTAAAATCTGTCATAGTAATGCTCATAATTATTGCCGACATAAGAGGATTCAGGATTTTGGAAGCTTCGGGTGCCACGTTGCTTGAACAGTAACATATGTAGCATAATATTCACAAAGGAAGACTATACTTAATTTTTATTTGCAAACTTTTCAAGATTTAGACTTGTATAGTTGGTTTAGTCAAGGTTTTAGTTAGAAGAGGTCTAGGTTCTGTTCTTCTTATCTCTTATCCACTTTTAATTTAATAAATTCGCTACAAAAGGATGTCCGCCTGATAAAAAAAGTTAAAGTAAATTCACCCAACAGGGTTCGAACTTGCGTCCCCAAAGTGGTAATCTTGAACTTTAACCACTGGCACCATGAGGCTCATTGTTTCTTTGGGTCCCATGGTTAATATCTATACATTTCCTTATGCATATATATATATACACACAGAATTTCAACCGAAATGTTCGGCACCCCCTCCATTCTTCATAGATCCTCCACTGATAGTCGACAGGTGAATTACATCTAAAGATAAAAAGGAAACGATAGGCAGGCTTGCATCAGGATAAATATAGACTCCTTTTTAAGGAGGTAATAAGGCTCATTTTTACTGATTTTCAACTCAGAAATTGGCAAGGTATTTCTGTTTTAGTTATACTATGTAATTTAGTAATTTGATGAAAAGCTTATGTTCATTTGCTGTATAAAAGCTATCCATTTGGTCTATTGTGATTTCATCATCCTGCATTTACACCTTTATATCTCGTAAGTTATCAAACTGGTGTTTACACATTAGAATTCACTAATAAATTCTGAACAATTTATCTTTAGCCAGTAGTCTATCAGAAACAGTGACTCCTATTAGTGATCTGCTATCTTTTGTGCATTGATGGAGAAGTTATGAAGTTCTCACTGCACTCTGAATAATATTTTTTTTTTACTAGAGTCATCTTAATTCTTCAAAGGTTTGGATTGGAAGACCAATCTTGTTGTTTCCACTTTTTGTGGTTCATACTTGTTCTTTATACAAGTTTCACATCACATGCATTGCATGTGTATGCCGAGTCATATAATATATGGTTATGTAAAATAATATCAATATTATTAAAGCAAAACTTATATGCATGAAAGAATAAAGTGCAAATTCTGTATTTGTGAATAGTCAATACAAATCGTTGTATGGTGACTTGTTTGTGAGGTCAAGATATTTGGACATTATCTATACCTACTAAAATGAATGATCAATTTAATTAGATCCATATGATTCTTTTTTTTTTTTTTACTTATTTTGATTTTATGACCCCTCCACCTTCATTAGCAGGGTGGTTATAAAATTAGCCTGCTTCATTAAGATAAAACATATCTCAACAAAAAGTCATGATCAAAAGATTTTCTCTATACGGCACTCACCAAAATGAGCAAGATTAGGCACTTAAAACTTGAAAATATTGTAATTTTTGAATCAAGAACCAATATCTAATAGTAGTAAATAAGAAATACTAAGAAGTGTCGCACACACAAAAGATTTATTCATCAAAGTGTTGGCAGTTTCTAGTCATCTTTTACATGTGCAGGAATCAATAAAGTTAGTTCATTCATTTTAAGGTATGCCAAAAAATTCCCATATAATGGCAAATTTCTATCTATTTGTCCAGCAATAAACATACTATCTGCTAGGGATATTCTTTTCAAAGTATCGGATGATATGTACTAAAACGAAAGCTTAAAATTAAAATTAGAAGGAATAAAGATAATAGTAATTGTAAAGATATGGCGTCTAGGCCCAACTCAACCCCAAAAAGGTAGCTCATGATGGGAGGTTTGTCCAAGTTCATATAAGGAGACCAATTGCCCATCCCTCTACCGATGTGGGACTTCTTAAAACTCCCCCGCACACCCAGACCTCAACTGGAGTGTGAACACTTATAAATAGGGGCCCAACATCGGTGAACAACAAAAATTGAGATGGGTTCGATTCTGATACCAGGTAAAGATATGAAACCTGGGCCTAACTTAACCCCAAAAGCTAGTTCATGAGGGGAGGTTTGTCCAAGTCCATATAAGGAAATCAATAATCTCACCCCTCTATCGATGTGGGACTTCTTAAAAGTGACATATATCAACGTGGTGCAACCCAAAAAATTAATGATGATAAAGAAAGAAAAGATATCAAACCCGTTAAAATGATGGAACAAAGAAAGGTTGGACAAAATATGAACCCGATCGTACCTGAAGACTACACCAATATGTATGATGCTCACAATGGTACCAGAGGTCTATATATTAGCTTCTGGACTAGCATGCATATGATACCGTTACCAAATAACTCGAAAATTTTAAACTTATCAAACACAAGACAAGAAACAAGCAAATACTAAAATGGAATCACCATAGCTTGTACGTAAACCTCTAGAATAATAGTTAGCTTTATCTTAGAAACTTTTTTCATTGAAGCAAATTTCTATGTGCAAATTAAGTTACTATTCAACCAATAAATAGCAATTCCTTATCCCCTCAGGCTCAACCTTCTCCAACATATGCATGTGCTTCTAGTAGGCATATGTAAATTCCGATGTAACCGATAAATCAAATTGAAAAAGTATTATTGATTTGTTGATATCAGTTGTTGGTTTTGAGTTTTCTTAATGATATAGCTTGTAACACAATAAGATCTATCAAATTTAATTGGTAGTTGAAAAAGTCTCTGATTCTTTCTTGTGAAGACCGTTTCTCCTTCTCATTTCATCAACTCACAACACCTTTTTTTCATGATCAAAGCATTTAGTAAATATTTCCATAAAAAAAATACAAAGAAGAAGTTACTGCCTCACTTTGAAATAAGCTTATCAGTAAAACTATTAACCGAACTGTAACAACCGTTTGATTAACCGGAACCCGATAATCCATTTCTTATTGGTTCGATTATCGTTTTAGCATATTTCCAAACCGATAACTGATAGCATTCAAAATTGAAATTGAACCAACCAATAAAGAGACCTAGATTTTAGACTTTTAGTGATAAGTCGGTCAAAACAACTAAACAGGCGATTACGCTAGGCAAGTAGACATGATTCAAGTCAAATTAGATGTAAACAGTACTTGATTGAACACTAAATAGATGTTTTAAAATAGCCTCGCATTCAAAGATTCTGAAGATTGCCCCCAAGGCCTTGCTCGAGTGGCATAAGGTGGAGGATTTGTGGCTTAGGTCACAAGTTCAAGCCCCACACCATGCAAAGCGAAGCCCAGTATTTAACTGGAGAAGGGTAGAGGGGTGGGCCCATTATCCACCGAGTTTAGAAGGCTGTGATTGATCCAAAGGGCGGGACACAGGCAGATTTCTCGGTTATCAAAAAAAAAAAGATTCTGAAGATTTGTTGGTTCTTGTATAAAAAGCAGTCAACCAAGAAAAAGAGGAGATCAAGGGACACTGATATATGTATCAATGTATTTGCTAGAAGTTAAGTGTATACGTGATATTCCTTAATTTAAGATAAGAAACCTTTTTTTTATTATTACCAATTTAGAAATTGGCAAGATAATGATAATTACAATTCTCTGTATACAGAGATAAACCAGATGATCATATGTTATGAATCAGCCCCAGCCCAATAACGATACTAACAAGTATATCACATGGATAGGTATTGGGACAAGTAGGCCCAGTACAAGCAACAAGGCCAGGCCTTCACAAAGGATAATTTGGTATTGTTAAATAGAACATGGCATCACTATGAGAGGGCATCATATGAATTATGTGCAATGACAGTTTCTGTGCTTCTCATCCCCAATTCTAGAGTCTAAGTTTCTCATCTCCATTCATATATCTATCTTTTGTTACTTGTTAATTCAGTATTTCCATTGTAATTCGGTAGTTTAATTATTGCAATTAGAATTTAAAGTTATAATAGTGTTCTAGTGCCCTTATTAATATAGTAAGGATTTCGGTTTGTTACATCATAAATGGTGCAACTCTTTGTAACAGCTGAATATGTTTATTTGTATTAAATAGAATATTCAGGTTTATAGTAAGGGCATTTCTGTGATTTAACTTTTAAGGCTGGGGCTTCCTGCTTTTAATATAATATAGATATAGATATAGTTGTATATTTTAAAGATTTACATGGTTTATGGTAGGGTAGAGTAGGTATAATCTCTTGACCGTCTCTCGTGTATTACTGATGAAAGTGCTTATGCAGGTTTATCATTGCCATGGAAATGCAACAACTGGACCACGGGATCTGTATGCAGAAGTGCAATGTAACGTGTGCCACAGCACGGCCGATGACGTTCTCCTGCTGTTGTGTGACCTTTGTGACACTGCTTATCATACTTATTGTGTTGGCCTTGGTGCTACTGTTCCTGAGGGCGATTGGTTTTGTGCAGACTGCGCCCTTCTGAAGGCTGAACAGGCCCAGAGTGAGATAAAAACTGATTGCTATACCCAAACTAGTTTCAGTGAACCCCAATCAGCAGAATCAGCAAGACAAGTATCTATATATGATATTGTACGAGAGTCTTATGTTGATGGTGTCGAGAGCGCTCCAAATGGTGCTTTGGATGCTTCCGAGAGTTCATCTCGTATTGAATCTAGAAGGCAAAGTACTTCTCGAAGCAGCTCAATTAGGTTAGGTTATGTAGGAAAAAATGGTGTTGCAGGACGCGCCACTAAGTTCAATGCCAGAACACTGGGGCATTGCCGCAATGTCCATGATAGGATACGCATATTGCGTGAACATTGGAATGGTTTTCAAAGTGGATCCTTGAGGTTTCCTTCTAGCAAAGTGAGTAATGCTAGTAGTGCTAAACTAAAACCAGTGCGTGGCAGCAGTTCTGGTGAACGGCCTTTAGTATCTTGCTCGAGTCAACCAAGGACTTCTCAGCCTTCCAATCAAAATAGACCTGACAGTAAAGGGTCAACAGAGGTGGAGAAGGCGTGGAAAATGATGAATATGGCTAAGGCAATAGAACAAAATAGTGTCGGGAACAAAAGTTCTGTTCAGGCCTCAAAACACTCCGTTCAGAAGAATACTAGCTACAAAGAAGCGAGTGAATCGAGCTCAAGGTCTATCTCACTAAAGATTGAACAGCATCGACCTACGTATATTCAAAATGTTGGTCCAGGTAGTCATTCCGAGAGTGATGTTTGTAAGTTGGACATTAGATCAAAAGGTGCTTCAGGTGTATATAATGGTTCTTCAATGTCATGCAGACCATTATATAGTGAACTTGTATCTTCGAAGGAGTCTCAGACTTCACTTCAGCCATATGTCTGTGATGCGAACAATGGACTACCACGGAAGAATAAGTCGTGTGCTGGGTCCACACATTTGAGTTCTTCTATCAGGTCGACATCAATTTCTACTACTGTAGGTCATGAGAAAGAGATCAGTTCTTCCTCGAATAGCATTGTGAATCCTCAGGAGAAACTGAAGGTCGAAAGGAGTGGCACTAAGAGAAGGGTTGAGGTGAAATCTGATGCTAAGACTGAGATCCAATCTCTTGTGAAGCTCAACCTGAAAATCCTGTGCAGAGATAAAAAGCTCGGTACGTCTTTTACTTTGGCCTGTAGTTTGCTGATGCATGTATCACTTCATTGCATTTTAATAGCATGATGCATCTGGTCAGAGTTGGTTATTCTTTCTTCTACAGTTCTACTTGTATAACTACATATCTAAAGCAAATGGGACTATATACAAATTTGACAATGTATTCATACGCCTATAATACTTCAATCATCGATAGCACTTTAGTACATGGAATCATCAGTCTTGTAATCTGTATGACCAAAAACAAAAATGTTACCGTATGATATTCTAATTCTTGACTCTATATATGATTTTCATCGACTTTCATGTGTGCAGAAGCTGACACATTTAAGCAAGTTGCAAGACTAGCTACTCATTCCATCTTAGCTGCTTGTGGTCTGGAGCACAAAACACATGGTATTTCTTCCCTTCCAGAATGCGTGTGTGTCCACAGCGAGGAAGATAAGGAACTCAGGAGATCTACTCTAATGCCTAAATCGTGCCGAGAATGTTTCTTCTTATTTGTGAAGAATGTGGTGAATACTATACTGCTAGACAAGAGATGACAGGATTGGTAGTTTGCAACACCATTAGACATTTGCCTATACTTCTTTATAGGTCAGAATTATACCATAGATAAATTAGTTCAGGGGAAATATTTATCATTTTAGTGGGCTATTCAGTGTTCTGTAGACATTTTGTAAAACATAATTGTACCTGTTATGTTTGGTAAATGGCTAACTGTTATTTTGATAATTATGAAATCTTATTTTGTATATATATATATGAATTTTTCTCTTTTAAGCTTGTCACTTGACATCTTCATTTTGCTGCAACATAATAAATCCAAAGATTGGAGGTTGAGCAAACTTGAAAAAATGTCTTGTTTCGTTGTTCGTTAGTGACCACCACATCATCGAGGTACAAACTTTTCAAGGCATTCCAAATGACAAATATGTCTAGTCCGTGCTATGATATCTACCCTTTTGATTTTACGCCATGATCCGATCGAACCCTCTCGAGAATCAAGTTGACTAATCTTTCAAGCTAAATTTAAATTAGATCAACTCAATATTTTAAATTCAAATTAAATATTCAAAAACTACACGAAAAATATTAAACTTTTCTCATGAATGAAAAGTGCCTTGTAAATTAAATTAAGAGGAGCATTAATAAAATATATAATTGATTATTAATTTAGTTTATTAGGTTAAATGAAAAATGTCATTTTAGGAGCGACGCTTCACGAAATCTGTTACCGTTATTACTAACGGAACGTCTGATTAACGGCGTGTCCGTGAAGATGGTCCCCACCGGCACACTAGACGGCAAGCATGGTGGGAGGTTAACGGCAGGGAATGGGCGCACGTGAGGGGGGTGGTCTCTTTCACAGGTCACGTACGTCACGCAGCCTCCCACGTCATCCCTCTAATCTGGGCCTCTTGTTTTGGGCCCCTCCACCTACAGGCTACAAGTCCCATCATCTCACCATATTTCCTCTATCACAAGTCACTATCTCACCCTCTAAAAATCCCAAACTATACATATTACACATGCATTTTTAAATTTTATTTTGAAAATATAAAATTCAAATTTTTTAATCGTTTTTAATAATTTCTACATAATCAATACTTCTAATATATAAAGATGGCGATCAAGGTTGTTGTTTCCTTCTTATCATATAGTTTCATTTCTTCCATTATATTTTTCGATAAATTATTAAGTTCAATCGAATCTATAGACGGGCGTTATTTATGTTAGAGCACCAAAAGTAGGGACCCACCCAATGAGGCATGAGTTGGCCACGTGATTTGGGAGGCGGAACAGATGCGGTAAGTAAACATTTTTTATCACGTGACTTTCCCGTATTTCACGGACTACACGACATGTTTCTCACACGCGCTTGTTTTCTTATACGAAAAAAAAACAAAAATGATTAATTATTAATTAATTAAGCTGAGAGAAAAAAGTATTGTTAACTGATCCCTATAATGATACCCTTAAGCAGAGAATGTGTGCAACAGCCAACACACAAGAAGATAAAGAAGATTCTCCAACTCAACAATTATTATTCATTCATTAAAAAATAATTTACAAATTTAAACTAATGCTATTATAAAATTAAACTAATGATTGCTGCTTCTTCCAGTATAATATAATATACAAATGGATACCTCTTTACTATCTGTAAATGTAATTGTCATATTCCATATGTTATCTTTGCATATATTGACTATGATTTTGAAACTCAGAGTTTTTCTTAATCGAATCAAAATATTGAAATAGAAATAGTATTTTGTAGGATTGAAAGGCCATTCATCCTTTTGGAATGTGAAATTACCATTAGCTGTCCTTGTTTTAATTTAATTTCCATTATGATTAAGAGGCAGAAAATAAAACTAATCTCACTAATTATTCAATTTAATGTTAAGTAAAAGTGTTGTATCCCAAACTCTCAAGCACTAGAGTTGGCCTATTTCCTTTGAAGAAACTATTTTTGTCGTTTTGTGAACAGCACGTGATTTGCAGTGTTGAAGTTAAACTCGTCTTCTTTGTTCAACAAAAGTTGTGGCTCTGGATATATACGGCACACTTTTGCTTTACCCCTTTATTTTATTTTTCGTCCGTCCCGCTAGTTGCATTGAAATTTAATTAATTTAATTGTGCCATATAAAGGCTATTGGGGGAAGCATTTTCTATCGAGAACTTTTTCATATTCCGAATTTGAAATCAAGACTTTGGACAACCGAGAAACATTTTTATCCAACTGCACCACATTCTTTAAATTGATTTATCTTGCATATTTTAATAAATGTGTATAAAAAGAATACTTATAAAAAACAAATCACATGAGTTTCACAATATTCTGTATTTTTCGACATCAAACATAGATACCATCTACTTTTATTTGTCATATAGCGCTTTTTGAAAGTTAATTTGATTACATTAATTCAATATTTTAAATAAAAAATTTAGATATTCAAAACTATACGAAAAGTACTATAAATTGTACTAATTTTTTGCACATAAATATGATGAAAAAATACATCGTAAAATGTTAGTCAAAGTTTTTTTAAGTTAACACTAAAAAAACTATAACAATTAAAAGTGGACGAAGATAGTAACATAATTTTTCATCAAATATGAAGTATTGCGCTCACACACAAAAAAAGTACAACGAGTTCAATATTTAAGAACCTTAAAATAAAAATCATTAAGATTAAATTATGAATTCATCCATCTTATACCTACACATAAATATGTGTATTATTAATGGTAGCTAGCACGCAAAATCGTATTCCATATAAATTTGACACTACATAAATTATATATTGGACGTATATGCTATAGCTAAGAGGACTGCATGTTACCGACGTCAAGATCCATCGATTAAAAATTAAAGTAAACCTATAGCTCGATTAATTGGTTATAATTAATTAATTAAAATATTTAAGTAGTTTGTTAAGTTAATTAAAGATAGGAGTGGACCAGCCATGCATGTTCTGCTATACTTTTTCTTTTTCAAAAAAGGAATTAAGATTACAAAATAAAGCATAAAGTTAATATAATATGAGTGATTACTTGGAGTAATTTAATTTAATTCATACAATTATACTACTATATGTTTAATGATTAACGAAAGACAACCTGTTCGGTTGTAGGAGTAGTGCACCTTAATGTGAACGCTTACTTTGATTATATATATTGTCGGACCTATATATGCTTTTATCTTTTTTATTTGTTTTTCATTTACTGTTCGATATTTATATTAAAGCTCAAATAAACTAAATTTAAGTTGCATAGTCCATTTAAGGGATAGCGTTCTCTATAAAGGATTTTTTCATATTTAAATTTCGAATTTGAGATCTATAATTAAGGAAGAAACAGTTTTATACGTTCCGTTGGTGGTGCTTTACTTTTTCAACGTCAATCTTTATCTAATTAAAAAAAAAACTACTTAAACCTTTAATTTTGTTATATAAATGAATGATTGGTTTAATTAATTATATTTAATGCTTTGTCCTTTCATGGCTAGACAGGAAAAACTTTTCTTTTTATGTGAAAACATAAAAGTAAATGAAGGAGAGGGTAACACATGAAAAAAATATTATTGTACTTCAAAAATAATAAATAAAAGTAAAAAAAAATAAAAATTAGCATAGTGAATGAGTAAAAATAAATATATTAATACTTTATGTGTGTAAATTGCATCCCAATTGTATCAACTAAAAGTTTATTCTATCAAAAAAGCTTTAATTTTTTCCTGTTTTTTCTTCCCTCTTCATTCATAGAGGAGTCTAAATAAAGGTACTTTAATATTATGCATCAAGTATTTCACATTTAGCAAAGATTTTGGGAAAGTCGTACCTCAAGAAGATGCAATTAACGTAGGCAACTAAAAAATTCAAGAATTTATTACTTCAAGCTCTATGCTTTCATGTGATTTTTCTCATTCGTCGAACGTACGACTTTTGCCTCTCTAATTTTTTTCTTCCAAATTTATTGGCATAATAATGTACTACTAATAAATAGTAGCAAGGTTAAACACCATTTTCATAGCTTTGATTGCGACAATATGGGGTGTCAAAATATAAAGTAGAAAAGTATATGTTACTGTACTAAACCTTCCGTTTGTGTAAAATAGTGTCAACACTTGTATATATATTCTTTAAATCAAACTTTGACCTATATATACAATGTAATTATTCCGATAAAGTTATGAGAAAATAAAAAAATAATATAAAAATATTGATTGCGTGACAAAAAGAAACCTAAGGAATAACAAATATTGGTTGGGGGCACATGCCTCCGGGGTAGGGGAGGCAACCCCCGCGTTATCCGGTTCACACAACCTAAGTGAAATTTTGTAGCTTTCACGTGATTCTTTTTTCCCCCTCTTTATCACCGCTATAGTGTTCCGAGTTCAATTTGGTTCTAACTTTTTTCAAAAATAAAAAATAAAAATGTGACAAGTGATCCTAAGTAACTTTATTTAATTTAGAAGAATGCAAAAACTCAAGTAAGTTAATTAAGAAGTTATATTTTGGTTCAATTTTTTAAATATTTACATTACCAAATTAAAATAAAATATTAATTTGTATTTAAAATTTAATGCGAGACCAAATGAAATTTAAGAAGTGTAATTAGATATAGTATGCCGGTTTCTTTGCTCCACTGCGTTAAATCTCTTCATCTTTATCTAACAAATTTTGACAATATTTTAATAGCAAGTGCAACTCTTACAATTGGATAACAGGTTGGGATCTGTGCACTAATCATAATCATTAATCTATTTAATTAGTGTGGGGTCTTTAATGCCAACTCTTAACTCTTGTAATGTGGATTACGCATGTCGAGGTCATGTGACATGCCATCACACATGTAGCATTCAATTGGGGCTAACCCATCGGTGGCCCCCTAAACTTGGCACGAAGTTTCACTTAGACACCTCAAGTGGGCGATGTTCATTTTAGACACCTCATATAGGGTCTCGCTGTGTCATTTTGACACTTTTTGCTGACTAAGCACAGTACGTGTGCTACACGAATTTTGAGCGCGTCAGAGGCTTTTTTTGTAAATATTCTAAATTTTTTTGTAAATATTTTCTTCTCCTTCTTCTTCCTTGCTTTCTCCCTTCCATCTTCCCCACCTTCTACCATCCTCCATCACCACACAACTTTTTTAAACTCTTTGATTCTTCCATCTTCTTTGAAAATCGAATTTGCATCTTGATTCATATTCAAAAACAAAATCGATTTCA